GGGGTGGGGTGAGAAGCAGGAAAGGCCTTGACTCTGTGTAAGCACTGCTCAGCAATAACAAAAACATCCCTGTACTGTCAACACTGTTTCCAGCACAAATCCAAAACAGAGCCCCATACTAGCTACTATGGAGAAAATTAACTCTACCCCAGCCAAAACCAGCACAGATTGCCCTGTCTGTGGCAAGACAGACCAAACCACTCCGAGATATTACTAGGGCTGTGCTTGTGGTGCAGCTTGGTTCCCAGAAAGCCAAGGGAGCTGGGGGATGAAGGGACTTGGGCTGGTGAGACGCTGTGCCAGACACCTCCCAGCCACATGGGAACAATGGAGTTTGGCTACATCTGCTACTAGAGCAATGGCTCCAAACCTCTGTTTTGCAGATCCCAAGGGATGCTTCTAAAAGCTGTGTGAAAAGTAACTAAGAAAAGCAAGTCTACTACCAGTAGGCTATGCTTGGCTGTGGAGGGGTCCACACGTCCTCTGAACAGTGCTCAGATGTCCACAAATGGAATAAAACTGAGCTGGCTGTTTGAAAGCTTTTGTCAATAGGTGTCACTGCTCTGCTCTTCCCCACTCAAATCACTCTTCTTTCAATCGGCAGCTCGGAAACAGCAACCTCTCCAAGCAGAAGTCACTAATTTTACAGGTAGGCACCTGTACTTATCCCATTTTCTCTCCCCTACCATCTTCCTCCGCTAATTTCAGTGTTTCTAAATCTCTCAAGCAGCAAATCTGCTACCATTCCTCTTGGGAAGCTAGCATGCAGCCTATTGCCAAAAGAAACCAGTCTTTCCAGCTTGTATTTGGAAGACAAAGATGAACAGTGGGTGTGGAAAACCCAGCTGAGAGCATTTGCTGAATTTCTTGCTGCCACAAAGGGCCTGGCTCCTTTATATGGTCTCAACCACCAAACACAGAGCAGGGAGCAATGCAGCATTTTCCACCAACATGCAGCAAGAAATTCAGCAAATTAATGTGAACAAGGAACCTCATCTGTTGGATATGTTGCATACAGAGAGGCTCTGACCTGCAGCTCCTGTTCTACTCAATATATGGTAATCCAGGCAACTTTGCCATTCATCAGTAAACACACAGCATTCATGCAGATTCTTCTGTCATTTTAAGCGAGGTCCTCCACTGAAAACTGCCACCTTTCTAGTAGCACGCAAAGTGTGCAATCCCATGGGCTCAGGGGGGTTCCTGCCTCCTGAATGCAGGTAAGTAATACATTGGTGTACTGAAGCTTGTATGGAAAAAACAGAAATACTCTAGAAGAAAGTATTCAGCTGGGAATGTCTTTGTTTACAGCAGTTTGTAGCACTGTCTGATACTGTCATACAGAGATGTGCCAAAGCAGCTCCAGCAAAGTATGACCATGCTGTTCAAAGTGCGGAGGAGGTATATAGCAAAGCATACAGAGATGGATTATTTACAAGCCTTCATTAAGTCAATCAGTATGGGGAAGGGGTCATCATCAAAAAGGAGCAGGGGAACTACTGCGATAAAAGCAGCCAAGGCAGAACTAAGCTCTAAACCAGTTTGCGTTACATGAAGCAGCATCGTACCTCTCCTGCCGGCAGGATTATGTGTTACATGAGGCTACCCAAAACATGCAAGACAGCTGTCTCAAACCCCTGATTTCAACCAGGCTGGGCTGCCTCTGCCTCCTGCAGGCTGCACTGTCACTGGTCCTGGGCTCAGCTGTTCCTGCACCTCCCCAGGGGATGGGATGCAACACAGCATGGAGCATTTGGGCCTGCTAGCTCCGGGAAGGAGCTCTCGCAGCATGTTCAGCAGTAGGCGAATGGCAATGAACATTGTCCTTGCCCATCCTAAGGCCATGAGGGACTGCAGCTTAGAGCACAGCTGAGTGCTTTTCCAGTCCTTTACCTTGTTCGTGCCATCACATTGTTCTTCTTGGGCTGCTGATTAACTGGGCTTCCCATGTTGCCGTTCTTCAGGGAGCCCTTCCGAGCCAGCTCCCTCTGCTTCTCTGCATATGGGATACAAAAGGGAAAAGCAAAATTAGGGCAACAGCCTGGCTGGCCACAGCTGCAGAAACTTAGATTTGATAGCGTCAAAAGGCATAGCAGAATTAATAGCAAAGGACATGAGCTCTCCGTCTCCCAAGGAGGAACTCTGCAAAGGCCGGATGAGCTGTGTCTGATTGCCTTCACGGTCACCAGGGGCTAAAACTATTGTACCTTGACTCACAGCAGCTTGTTGACAACGCCACACTAAGATGGTCATGGAGCTTCTGCTGAGGCAGAGAAAGGGCAGAGACCTTGTCTCTATCTGCACCCAGCTGCTGCATGGACCCTAAGACTGCGCTTTGTGCCAGGCAAGGGAATTTATCCTTCTACCTTTTCTCCTCCTATTGAGGCTGCCACTGAGAGGCCCAGGGGGGATAGGAAAGCGTCTCCATCAAAGCAGCACCATCATTTAGTGTTAGTCTAGCCTAGCCTGACACCAGGCCTGAGTTATTACTGCTTCCCTAGATGGCAACTCACCAGACTAACAGACCCTACAGCAGAAAGTGTTGCTGCCTTCCCTGCTCCTCCTCCTGGCAATCTGTGATGTCCCCCATGTGTCTTTCTCTTCTATCTCACATTGATTCTTGAGAGCTTGCTTTCTTTATTTAAAAAAAAAAAGTGAAACATTTTGCAGCTGTATTTTTAAACAGCATATTGTTTGCTTAAATTTTCAGAGTGTGTTCTACTCGCTGCTGAAATGTACCTTAAAACACGGACAGTACATTAAGCTTTATGTATTCAGTGCAAGAGGGGATTTAAATTAGCTTCTCCTTTAGGAGAGACTATTTCTGTTAATAACTTCTCACCACAGGATCACAACTAGAATTCAGGTCCTAAAGCTAAGCCTTCTACAGGTATGCAATGTCTGTGCTGTATTAATACGGCCCTGCCTCCAGCAGGGATAGGAGCCCATGGATGATGGGTTTTCATATAAGCTGATATTCAGTTTTCTGATTCAAAGTCCTTCCTTGTTTCTTGTGGGAAATCAGTTGGGTTGAGTTAGCAATTAGCTGCAAAAGTTGAGCTAACTGCCCCAATCTCATCCTGCAACGCCAGGCAAGGCTTGTAGGGAAAAGCCAAGCGTGGGGCCAGTAAGGCAGGAAAGGGACCGGTTAAAAACGTTCTCCAGAGTGTGAGAAAATGTTGGGAACTGTTTTTGTGGCACGCCTGAACAATAGGGGTTTACCAGACTGCTGGCTGGGGACTTGAATAATGAATTTGTTTTGCTTTTGCTTCCCCTGCGGTGTGTGAAATGTGCTGATATATTTTTTTCTCCTGCAGGTTTTATTCCCCTTGGAGAGAAAAGCACCTTTTCCCACTTGTCATGGAAAAGTGGCATACCTACCAGGGTGTACAAGTGCAACGTGGGCCAACTCTGTCCCTTCCACACAGGTAAGAGCTGGGGGACACATGTCCAAGGCTGCCTTTTTTGAGGGACAAATAAGCAGCAGAGATGCCTAGAGATCATGATGATAAGTGTGGCTGAGGAACCTGCAGGGAAGAGTACATACTCCTACAAACCATGCCCAGCCCTGCTCTTGCTGACAGCAGAGATGAAAAAATGCTCATTGAACTTGGCAGGAAAAGGATCGGGTTAATAACTCTCTCCGGCATCAGCAACAAAGAGACTGATACATGATTGAAGTCAAAACCTTAAATCAGAGTAATTTCTCAGGACTGGAACTTGCAAATGTTATCTCTGTCTCCGGAATAAAAGGCTGGTATTTTGCAGGCCATGTGAATTTTGCTATTCAGACACAGAGGGATAAAGGAGGGTTTTATGGAGGCAAATGTTTACAACCCTAAATACAACCTGACTTGCACCCATCTACACCAGAAGCTCCAGCGCTGACCACAAATACACAAAGCTGAGACAAGCTACCAATGCTTTAAGAGGCTGTATAATTCACAAAAGGCACCTGACCCAGAAACAAGGTTACAGGTTTCATTTTCTGTCAAAGCAGTTAAGGCCTGCCTAAGCCTTTGAAATGGACTGGTACTCCTGCTTTCTATAGATTGCTCGGTACAAGCACTAATGCTCTTCTCCAACTCAGATTACTCATTCAGCTGATGAACTGGACTTTCATTAAGTGTCTTTTTCCTCTAGTAGGTCTCTCCATGACTATTTCTATGCTATTACTGAGTCCTATTGCAACGTGTGGGTCTGAACGATACGAGATTTCCTATTTAATCCCTTCTTTCACTTACTTAGTGGCTTGGAGTGAACAATCCCAATGCAATGTAAGTGCGGTAGGAACATCCATGCCTGTGTCCACAACCAGATTTCTTAAGCATGAATCAACAGTTCATCACCCTTTTGGATGCTATGAATCCTGAGTCCCTGGTGGCCAAAATGCAATGGCTTCCAGGGGGAATGGGAGGCCTACTGAGTCCTGGTGTGTTAGGACAAGCTCCTGGAAGGTGGTGATGTGCATGAGTCACATCAGGCTTTGAGGCAAGGAAACCTAGTATTTGAGCCTTACAAGTATTTTGAACTACTGCTGCTTCCACTATCACCCAAGGGAGATTTTGGGTGCCAATCTCTTGCAGTAATTCTGGGCTATAAATTCCAGCCTTGCACACCAAACATCAGGTCCATCAGAATGGGAGAAGGAGGTTTTCAGTGCCTGTTCTGTGTGATGCTTCCTCCTGGTGTAGCAGGTGGAGTTTGTGAACCCCATTTCTAGGTAGTGAGCTCTTTCCCTGGTTTCCAGCTCATCTGGTTTTCGCCCTCAGATGTTTGTTTGAAGGCCAGGTTCCCAAACTCGAAGTACCTGAGTTCTTTTAGAAATGTGACTGATTTAGGCACTTCTGAACATGTTACTTTCAGGGTCCAATATTTTAACAAAACTCTGTAATTTCACAAATTAAAGTAGTTCTCATAGAATCTGCAATCAGACACATAACCAGCACAGTAAAGACAAAGTGAGAGAAGGAACCACAACCTAGCCTTGATAAGTAAATGGCATTTTTCTTTAAAGTCTGCCCCATACTGGCTGATGCTACACCCACATGAGCATGAATCCTAAGATCACAACCCTCCACTGACCCAACTGTGCTAACCTTTGTGTGAAACCTGGCAACTATGCACCTGGGCAATTCTCAGGGAATGAACAGCTAAGATGCTCTTTCCTTCTGAGTCATTCCAGATTCTCTGATATGGTAGTCAAGTATTCCCCGTTGGACTTAGATGACACCTGTGTTCCCACGTCTCCCCCAGCCTCAAGGCTGCTGCTTAGCTTGAGACATTGAGGGCATGGTCCCACCAGAGGGGATAGGCATAGCTTGTCCTCAGCACTTGGCATTTTCTGGTGCTGGCTATGAAAAGGGTTTCCATGTCTGTGATGGCCTGTGCTGCCTGCAGTGTTCCAGTACATGCAATGAACTTCCAGGAAGGCAACACAGCTTGATGGAAAGTCAATGCTGACCCTACAGAACTGCCTAATTCTGGGCAACTCTTGGGCACCAGAAGAATGAGAAAAGGTTAACAGGCACTCCTGCCAAATACAGAGAAAATGGGACATACAAGAACAAACAAAAAACCAGAAGACTCTGATTTCCAGCCACTGGTTATTTCGTGTCTGGTGAGTTTGCTGTTGGATGATCAATGAAAAGCTAATACAGCAGAGATAGATACAAGGTGAAGGACAGAGACTTGGAGATGGGGAAGCCAGAATGAAACAAGGCTGCTCTCCAGCTATGTCAGAGAAATCACTAATTACTGGCAGTAAAAGAGCAGTATAACAGCAGAGCTCCAACGATGCTCTTTACATGGCATTTGCAAGTATTTGAAATAAGTTGTTTAGCTTTCATTTCACTTGGCTGTTCTACCATTGTACCCAGTGAAATACTCACACCTGTGGTTTGTCATCCCCCTTCCCATGAAATGGTTATGGGTGACTAAGCACACTGCGAGTACAGGTGCCATGGCTTGCAGAGCCAACAGGCAATCATTAGCAATACCAGCAGGGCTGGTATGGCTAGGGGAGAGACAGCTTTAACCAAGTCCAGGTTCCTGCTGGCTTTTCACTAATCTTCCAGACAAACACTTCCTTGAAGAAGCAGCATAGAGCAGAGGAGGTTGGGAGGACATGAAGCAGCCTGCATGTGCCTTTGACATTAAGAAGTATGCTCAATTAGGAGTCTGAAGATCCTGTCTGATTATTAGCTGGGTTGTTGTGTTGGGTAATGTATTGGGTTTGCATGGCAAGGTTTTGGTAGCGGGGGAACGACAGGGGGGGCTTCTGTGAGAAGCTGTTAGAAGCTTCCCCTATGTCCAATGGAGCCAATGCCAGACAGCTCCAAGACGGACCCGCTGCTGGCCAAGGCAAAGCCCATCAGTGATGGTGGTAGCGCCTCTGTGATAACATATTCAAGAAGCAGGAAAACAACTGCGCTACTGCAGCCAAAGAGAGGAGTGAGAATATGTGAGAGGAACAACTCTGCAGACACCAAGGGCAGTGAAGAAGAGGGGGAGGAGGTGCGCCAGGCGCTGGAACAGAGATTCCCCTGCAGCCCGTGGTGCAGACCATGGTGAGGCAGGCTGTCCCCCTGCAGCCCATGGAGGTCCACGGTGGAGCAGA